TTTATATATATATATATATATATATATATATATATATATAAATCCGTATAAATATATCTTTATAAATAATAATATCTCTATCTTAACAGAAGCTATAGAGTGCATGTAAACATTCGGCTCTTGTGTAAAGTGTTTTGATTGACATCCCAGACAGACAGACTTCTGATATTCAAGGCCCGTCTCCATTATGTGGCATAATGATATGTCTGCTTCTCTATGTGCATAGGGGCTGTTTGTTTAGCCCTCGCATTGGCTGCTGTGTATGTGTGTTGAGCATGGGGAATATAATCTTGTGTAAACACCAAGCTCGTCTCTCAGGTGGAGTCGTATGAATGAAACACACAGACTCAGCGAGGTCTCAGAGAGCCGTGTGTCAGTCCACGTGAATGGGAGAAGAGTCTATCTGTAGAAACAGACCGCAATCAGAGCTCCAGCCTTTCAGGCTGCACAAAAAAGCAACAGTCTGACTGTTACAATTATGAATCTTCCTTTGACTTCCTTTGAACTTTAGCCATTCCTCTGCATTTGAGTTAGGTTGGTAAAACTTTATAATAAAGCCTCATTAGTTATCGTTAATTAATGCACTAACTAACAATGAGCAATGCACAATACACAATAGCTGAATAGGTTAAAAGTTTTAACTAATAGATATCACCATACTTCCACAGATGATTAATCACAGCACATTAAGACAATTGTTTTGTATTAAAAGTTTTCCTGAAATGTTATGTTTGATTATGCAAATTAGGCATTATGTAATTAAAAGAGCACACATTTGCATAGATTTCCAGCACAGAAATCTAGACATTGGATAAAGCCAGGTTCAAAGTTCTTGTTTCATTTTGTTGACATGTACAAGTTTTTTTTTTCATCACTCCATGAATCAGAAAATACTGTCAACAGTCCAAACCAGGCAAACGATTGAATAACAAACCCCTCTGTAAAAACCTTCAGAATATAGTTAGGAATGAAACTGGACAGTTATTATGTAACTGCTTCTGAAGTAGAGATTTCTGCATGTGGAAAAATCTTATTCTGAGAAAACGGCCATAAAAGATACCTACAAACGCAATTAGATAAAATGTAATAAAATAAACACTTAAAAATTGTCGTCATTTACTCTCCCTCAAGTTGTTCGAAACCTGTATGAATTTCTTTTGAACATGAAAGAAGATATTTTGGAGAATGTTAGTAACCAAACAATTGACGGTAGCCATTGACCTGCATAGTATTTTGTCCAAACCAAGTACATGGCTACCGTCATCTGTTTGGTTATCAACATTCTTCAAGATATAGTCTGTTGTGCTCAGCAGAATAAAGTAACTCATACAAATTTGGAAAAACTTGGGGGAGAGTAATTGATGACAGAATTTTCATTTTTTGGGTGAACTGTCCCTTTAAATATATATTTTGAATATACCCCACAACTCTTTAAAAATACTTCATTGTTAATTAGCTTAGGTCTATTAAATAATATTCAGACACAACTTGTGATTTGAATAATGTATCAATAAATGTTGAAATTCACTAACTAAGATTAATAAATACTTAATAATATTATTCATAAATATTTTTCATTGTTAGTTTGTTAAAGTGTTACCTAGCTGTTACCAGGTTGTTTTCCAGTTTTCCTTTACAAGTTTAGCAAAAACACAAATATCTGTTCAAATGTCACCATACACAGTTGGGATGTGGAGTTTGTAGCCCAAACCAACCACAAGCCCTCTGAAAGTTTTCCCTCCTGTGACTCCGTTTAAATACTCTTGCAGTCCGATGTCGCCGTGACTGCAAGGGGTCAGACCTACACCAGACAAAACCAACACGTTCTAACCCCATAATAATGCAGGACCTCTGGGGAATAAAGCTGCTCTCTTTTTCCCACATCCCACCGTGCTCTGGGGCGCCTTTTTGTTTACACTGCCCTCACAATGAGCGCTATAGTGCCCGCTGAACGAGCTTGTATGGGAGTGTTCTGGGCCTGAATGTACAGCCAGCCACCGGCCCTGCTCTGAATAAGCCCCTTTGAATATTGCCAAGACCCCCGCTTGCATTGTTCTGCATTATTCCCCGTACAATAGATATCACACTTTGGAAGTAATTTTTTTTAAAAGGGATGGGTGAATCAAAATAGTGGTAGCTTTTAGCTTTTGTTTTCTCACTCTCTCTTTTCTTTCACTCGTCTAGCTCTCTTTCTTTCTTTTTTTCTTTTGCTTCGCGCCCGCCCCGCATTCTCTCTTCTCTCTCGCAGTTTTTTCCCCAGCGGCTCATTCAGAGTTCTCCATTATAGCGGCAAATTAAATAAACCACTCCATTGCCATAAGAGGCTGGGGCCCGGACTGAACCAGCCTAGTTAGCGAGGACCAGGGGAGCAAGGCAGGCGTGCATGCTGAGAGAGAGCGCACCTCGCTGGGCTTTACTCCACCTCGCTCATGGTTCTTCAGGCTGAACGAATGAAATGGTTTGAGACGAAGCGGAGGATGAGGAGTGGATGGGGGGGATCGAAGGGTCCCCACCCACCCCTCTGTCTCCAGTGGAGATGGAGAGAAGGACAAAGGAGCTCTCTCCTTCCTCCAGCCCCCCTCCTCAAAAGGGCAGCAGGTACGGGGCATGGTTTTTTTTTCCCCCAAGGTGGGTCGTGGGATGCTGGGGCAGTTGTAGGGGGAGAAAAGAGGTTTATCTGAAGACCTCTTCTGGGGATAGGTTAATTGTGAACTGGCTTCTCAGAAGGAAGGAGAAATGTCAGGAGAAAAGTGCACGGCAGCCATGACAGAGGAAGAGAGAGAGTTACTCAGTGTCAGACAGTTTTACACAAATGTTACGAGATACAGGAAGTGTTTATGCTAAGGTGGTGTTTTTGGTGAGAGGTGTGCTGGAAATTTCTTTGCTTTTTGTTGAGATTTCAGTCTTCAGGATGTATGGGATTTTATTTATAGGAGCTGTAATTATACAGTCTCTTTTGGAAGACACTTAAATTTTAGCCAGTTTATTGTGAGCTCAAACTTTTCTCTTCATACTTTGATGGTTTCCCTTTTTTGAATACAAATGTAGAAGCAACAGGTGCAAGTGGAGCTAAGAATTTACCCTTTACATGTGGCCTTCATTTTTAGGAGTAACTGCTTATGAATTAGTAATAACTGCTTGTTTTTTGATGTCTTGTAATTTGAGCTGTACAGAGATATCATGTGGTTTTAGTTGTGGCTGTGTACACTCTTAGAAGTAAAAGGTTCCCAAATTAGGTTTTCACAGTGATGCCATAGAATAACCAATTTTAGTTCTCTTTCACTGAACATTAAAAAAATGATTTACCTTATTTACCTCTAATCTAATTATTTACCTGAAAGGGTACTGACCCAGTGACTGCTTTTTGTACCTTTTTTTCTGAGTGTAAAGAACCTTTTATGGAATGGAAAAGTTTCCTCATCGAACCTTAAAAAACCTTTGCCAGTAAAGAACCATTATTTTTTAAGAGTGCATTCAGAAGGTTCAGCACTTATTTTCACTTTCATGCCCATTATTTTCTGTGATTAGATTGGATTTGTATTTATAGTTTTAAATATTATTACATTTATTAATTTTATATGATTAATAAAAGCTATTTTTTATCCAAATGCAAGTGGACTGTTAAAGTCTGCTAATTGTTTTCTACATCTGATTCTACACCTAGTTGTGGTAGCATAGGAAATCATTTATGAAGAGAGAGAGAGGGACAGGTAGAGAGACTAAAGGGAATAATGGACAGCCTCTGAGAGAGACAAAACAAAGGGAAGGAAAGGCCAGGTAGTGAGAGGTTGGCTTTGAGCACTGTTGGGCATCAGCCTGGATGGACCAGGAGAGATGACCTCATTTACAATGTCTGAAGACTAAAAGAGGAAAAGGAAGAGGAGGAGAGCTTGAAGAGGGGCCGTCCCGCTGAGTGCCTCACACTTAGCCCCGCTGGGATCCGATCAGGGCCCAAACTAGTGTCAGACAGGGGGTCTAGTTGTCTCCTCCCTACCATTTCTACCAAAAGAGAAAAGAAAGAGATCCACTGAAAGTCCCACTCCAGCCGGTGGAGAAGGATAGAGAGGGAGGCCGGCCAACTGATGTGGCCTATGAGAGGACTGTGGGTGACGTGCTCGAGATGTAGGGAGAGGTGGCATGTAGCGGCGAGGATTTGAGCAAGGGAGACTTTGGCAAATGTACAAAATGCTTGAAAGATACTGAGAATGAGCAGAAGAGAAAAAGAGTATGAGAGAGTAATAGAGAGAGAGAGAGAGCTGAGGTCAGGGACTCCCTCTGAGGTCTGACATTTGAGGCTAAGGGTTGTTTTACGAGTGCTGTTAGCGTGTCAGGTCCAATTTGCAGGGCTTACAGGGCAGGGTTAAATAAGATTAGCAGTTTTACACATGTTTACCAAATTCCACTGCCACCTGAGTTTCTCGATAGCTTAATAGTCAGCTGTTTATTATTCTCAGCAGGGGTCTCTCAAAAAACAAGTTTAGCTTAGATTTTTATTTTTTTTTGCTTTAATTTTGTCTAATGAATTTTATATGCATTATGTTTATTTTTAGAGAGCTTTGAATTTATAGGGTGGTGTTGGTAAAAACTTAAATAAGAATATATTAATATGAAGATGAAATTGTAAGATTTTTGCATTATGGTGTTATTTTATTGACACTTAAGCACATGACAAAAAATCCACCTACCAAATATAATAATAATAATAATAATAATAATAATAATAATAATAGATATACACAACCGTTCAAAAGTTTGGGGTTTTGAAAGTCTCTAATGTTCATCAACTCTGCATTTATGTGAACCAAAAAAAATTAATATTGTGAAATATTACAATTTTAAATAATTTAAATATAATGTATAGTTTAATTTATTCCTGTGATGCCAAGCTGAATTTTCAGCATAATTACTCCAGTCTTCAGTGTCTCATGATCCTTCAGAAATCATTATAATATGCAGAGTTGCTGCTCGAAAACATTTATTATTGATATTATTGTTGAAAACTGTTGTGTTGCTTAATATTCTTAGTGATCCTTTTTGATGAATAGAATGATTATTTGATGAATAGAAAGACTAGAAAGTAAAAAAAAAAAACTTTCACTCTCTCTATAAATAAATATATATATATATATATATTCACACACACACACACA